ATTCATCGACTTTCAGCAAGCATACGATAGATTAAAAAGGAAGGAATTAAAAGAGACCCTTGAGGAACTGGGAGTTAGCAGAAAGTTGCGTAACATGATACATCTTACTTTAGAGAATACAGAAAACAGAGTCAAAGTAAACAATCATACATCGGACAAATTTATAGTAAACGAAGGATTAAGGCATGGCGATCCTTTGTCATCACTACTCAATTTATGCCTAGAAAAAATAGTGCGAGAAGCAAGAATTAATACAGAAGGACTCCTATATCATAAAAGACACCAAGTTTTGGCATTTGCGGATGATATAGTAAAAGCAGCAAAGAAAATGCGACTTTACATAAATGAAACTAAAACAAAATGTATGCAGTGGACAGATGATCAGTTTAGGGATGGACAAAAGTTTAAAGTAGAAGTAGAAGAAAGATCATCATACGAATTCGAAATGGTAGAAATATTTACATACCTAGGTACAATAATATCACGTAAACCTAACATTAAAGAAGAAATACAAGCTAGAATAATGACAGGCAATAGAAGTGTACATGCTCTTAGTGGAATGTTGAAAAGCAAGTTTTTATCAAGAAAGGCAAAAATACAGTTATACAAAACAACTATACAACCAATAGCAACATACTGCAGTGAGACGTGGACAATGAAAAAAATGAACAAAATCTACTGGAGATATGGGAAAGGAAAATCTTGAGGAAGATATACGGAGGAATAATAAGGGACGGTTTATGGATAAGAAGATCAAATGACAAGTTAAAGAAATTATATAATCAACCTTACATAATAGGAGTCATAAAGGCACAGAGACTAAGATAGCGAGGTCACCTAGAAAGGATGCCGAACACGAGGACTCCAAAAAGGGTACTTAACTACACTATAACTTCAAAAAAGAGAAAAGGAAGACCAAAACATAGATGGAATCAGGAGGTAGAAAAAGATATGGAAGAAATTGGACCAGACGGCCAGAAAAGAAAAATGACTAACAAGAAGGAATGAAGGAAAGTCACATATCGTGCCAGAGAAGATCTCAGTACATAAAGGAAAGCAAAAATGAAGAAAGAACAAAATTTTTTAAGCCATGGGCCTCTAAGGCCTTTAGTGCTATTGTATATATATATATATATATATATATATATATATATATATATATAAGACAGTAAAGATAATAGCTTCAATATATCACGATAGTTGCATTAGATTAACGACTGAAATCTAATGAAAAATCCTATACATATATGAAAAACTACCCTGCAACACGTACTTGTACACGTTACTTTGTGTTTGAAATTGTGTTGGAGTAGACTCTAAATGTTGACCAAAACTTGAAGAGTTTGGTCTTTTTAAATGTTCTGATATTCTAGTAGATAGCTTTCTAATGCCAAACTTTAAAACCAAAATAGCCAAACTTTTTACTTCTACAGTTGAAAACATCAAAATTTCCTTTAAGTCACACAACACTGTAGGTTCCTTTTTAATTAACACTAAAGACAGGTTGAACACACTTGACAAAAGTGGTATTTACAAATTAAAGTGTGATGATTGTGATCCTCTTATGTAGGCAGAACCATTAGAAAGCTATCTACTAGAAATCAGAACATTTAAAAAGACCAAACTCTTCAAGTTTTGGTCAACATTTAGAGTCTATCCAAACACAATTTCAACATCAATACTGGGTCATCTATTTTGCATGACATCAGTAGAAAGAAAAATTATTTGTGAGTTAGATCTATTGGAAGATTTGGAGATCACAAAGGAAACGAATGGAAACTCTCATTGTCTTAATACTCAAATTAATTTTAAACTGTACTAAATTTAAACCTATTTTAAAAACTTTATTACAGCTTCACCTCGTAGTGGACCCAGCACGCTGTCTAGACTTCCTGCACTGAGTCTATACATTAAGAATCTACCAATTCAAGCTCTGTTCAGCAGTACTATTGTATTTAACAATTTACACAACTAGCTGCTCAGATTCAATTGATCCACAGTTGGAGTTGATTTCACTCTTCATATCTCTGCATAACTTATATATACTAATTCCACAGTTTATATTTCAACACCTGTTGGTCGGTTGGTCTTTAGTAATGCTATTACATATTAGTTTTATAGTTCCCCATTGGCTTGAGGTTTAACTGAACTACTTTAACTATAACCATTTACACGCTTTTCAATTCTGATCTAATTTTAAATAATTTCAATTTTATAGTCAATTTTCTTCTCATTTTGCAATATTGACAGTGTAAGGTAGACCATTTTATTGTAGTCAACTACCCACTGTCCAATAGATCGTTTGGTCTATTTCTTTCATTCACACTTTATGTACACTTCATTTAGCCTCAAACCTACAACCTTATTATTATAGACGGGTGTGAGTGTGAGATCTGGATTATGCAATCTAGTTTAAATCAAAATATTCTACATGTCATACGTCATCAGCTGATTGTTTCATAGTAGTTCTAGTTGAGACCTTTGGCCAAGACAACTTATACAGAATATTCAATATTGTTGAGCACAGATCCATAACTTTGACTGCCTATCAAAGTTGTCATATGTCATAAGTACACCGTATCATTTCCGCTTAGATCATTATCCCTCCAGAAACTGACAGAGAATGTAGCGTAGAAGTAATTTTTGTTTAATTTTAAACTGTTTGTCCTCGTTTTTAGTGTAGTGTTTTGTATAATTTTATGTTAGTTTTAATGTTTTCACATCCTACGATACGCTTGCCGGATAGTTCTTATTATGTGACGAATGTAAGTCATAAAAACGTTAATCTCAAAACCTTTTTTTTTTTCATCCATTAACTTCGAGTTTTTTATCGAAGTTAACTAATTTACTTCATCTAAAAAAACGTTTTCTTTGGCTTATTTCAGCTGCCCCTGAAAGATGCTTTTTAAGCTCAAAGTACTTGGGCTTGATTTAATTAACTTGTGCTCGATAATAGCCTTATTTATCAAAGTTCATTTATTCGAGCATTCAACCTCATTTCATTTATATCTTAATATGTTTTACGGTTTGCTTTGACGGTTTTCCTCTATTACTGCAATTATTATTTTTATGTCATTTCTATATGTCGATAAAACATTTCTTTTAAAAATAGAATACCAGTTCATAGATAAAATCACAATAAATCATAATAGAACGAGGAGTTCGACAGGGATATATTTTATACCCCTGCTATTCAAAATTTATTCTGAATATGTTTTTAGGGAAGCTGTGGACGGGTGTGACAAAGAAATATTACTAACATCAAATACGCAGATGACAACATAGTTTTTGCAGATAATCTGCGATTTACAAATATTAATAAATCGCATAACTGAACTTAATATTAGGTACGGAATATATCTTGATTTAAAAGACCAAATTTATGCTAATTAGTAAACATCTACTTAAAAATCTTAAATACCCAACTGATAATTAACTAACAGTAGTTTAAAAAGTGGAGTGTTACTCATATTTCGGCATCAATCTAAATAACCAATACGACCATTTTTCAGTTTTGCTCTATGAAAAGGATGCATGGACATTTACTATAGTAACAATGAACCGACTTTCGAGATATGATTTTGTTATAGGTGTATCCTACATATATTAAAACATATTCGTATACAATTTCATTACAATGTTGCTAGTAGTTTCGGCACAATCGAAAAAAGGTGTTTTTTTTTCTTCAACGGATGGCGTTACAACAATTGTTTACTAAGAAAACCTAAATTATTTTTCAGTTTTTTTACGAATCCTATACACGGTGTTACCGTTTTTTGAAACACCCTGTAGAGACATAGATTTAAATCTGCTTATTGCACAACTTAAGTACTATATTAGTTAATTTTAATGGTTTCAGTAATATTCCATTTGATCCAGGACAAATTCATGAAAAAGAACAAAAGTATTGAAAGAAGCAGTACGTAAGTCATTATAACATGATAAATGATCAAACTAAAGATGTAAAGTTAAAAAAGTGATGAAGTGGAAAATTTGGAAATTAAATTATTTACTTATGGAACACAGCCAATACATGAAGCAGCGAACAAAGCAGCATAATACTTAAAAGACACCCACTAACGCCGCAAAGTCCACCACTTCACAGAGACACATACATACGCTTATATATATATATATATATATATATATATATATATATATATATATATATATATATATATATATATATATATATATATATATGGATGCAAGCTGACAAAATTAAAGCTGTTTTTATCCTACTAATATCCCGAAAATCGCGAAAATAATTTGCAGTTGGTGTGTATAAATAAACCCAAGCAATTTCTTATTAGTAAATGAGGTTATCTGCAATCTAAAGGTTGAAGTTAACGGAATTACGTTTGAAATAATTTCGACACTGCCAGCTGCCAAAATCTCCAGATATGACTACGTTATTATTTGAAGAGCAAATTGTATCAAAGTCCACCGAATAATGTAGAAGAGTTTAAGAAGCGCATCAAAACGGAAATTTCCCAAATAACCCCTGAAGTCATCGAAAACGTTAAGAAGAAATTTACTGTCACGCTTTCCCTTTGAATAATTGCTGAATGTCGTCAAACGTTTCTTGTAGTTTGGCTATATTTTACTAAACATTTTATTATATCAATAAGCCAATCGTTTTGATTAACGCTGTAGAAATAAGTATTCAAAAAGACGATTGGAAGAGCTTTCAAATGAGGTGTCCTGTGACGTCAGTGTTTTAAAAAAGTGTCGATTACGCCACTACGCCAACAATGATGACGTATTGTCCATTACGTATATAAGAATTGATGGTGATGATCCATTTAAAAATTAAAATTGACTTGTCTTAAGAAAAGTCACCTGTATCTGAAATACCGAATGTATTCCATAGATTTGCATCATACTGTATAACACCGACTGTACAAATCAAGCAAAGAATTTTGTCTTTTACTTTACGGCAAAAAACTCTCATTACAACGTTTTCTTGAAAGATACGATGCTAATCTGTTTCCTTTTACCTTCACTTAATCTTGAAAGAGACATATTGAATACTTTATTGTGAATAACAATAAGTACTGTTCTATGTTGTAATAATAAGTACGCAACTGAACTGGCAATTCTATAGCAACTGACTGAACTCAACTGAGCAGTTTTGGCTTATAAAAGAAAATGTGATTTCTTGACAGTTCTGTTCTAGAATATTAAGATAGCATCACCTGTATTTTCTAGAACTTTCTAAAACTATAGAACTTTCTAGGACAAGTACAAGTATGTAATATAGAGTCGCTGCCTACGACTGGGCAGCGGCAGAAGGCGTGGCGGGCCTATGAGACGGGTGTGGGCGATCACAGTTGAAATAATGTGGTCTGGATGTTTTGGCTGTTTTCAAAATTAAATTGGGTAGCAGGAAACTGTTTAGTGGACCGCATGTGGCTCATAGATCGCATTATTGATATGCTTGTCTTAGCTCATGAAAATATTAGAAAACGCTGGCACGGGACAGAAAAAAAAAAGAAGCACCATCGAAGCTTAAGTGCTGATTGATAAAGCCAATAAAGAACTGTCTTTATGGAAGGTAGAGAAGACATACATAAGAAAGATGATCAAAAAACTAAAAAGAAAGTTAAATATAGTATAGAGCGGTATAAAGTTGCGTAAAATACAGAAGCGTATAATAAATTACACCAAAATAGACTGATTAATTACATCAAAATAATTTTTCAGTCGAAATAACATCACAGCTTTCATATACACATTTTATATTCTTAACAGACTTTGTAGATACGGTAGAATATTTCGCGAAATTTACTTTTAATCACTCACTCTCAATTCAATATTTGTTAAAAATCTATCGAATGACACTAAACACTCTTCACTCATGCTCGATGGAGGCAACTTGGAAATATTTTTTAGAATTGTTGATAGATGGGGCTATAATCGGAAAAAACGATTTATTTTTATACCCTAGGAAAACTATGGAAACGGTCTAATATCTCAAGAAATACACCTTCAAATGAAAAACTGACAATCATGTGATTAATAGTTTTTAAAAATCTATCGAATGACACTAAACACGACGCCTCACCACATCCCGCAGGAATGGAGTGTGGGGCAACTTTAAAATCTTAAAAAGCCACCCCCCTTTTTTTTGCATATTTTCATTCTACAAAATATTCTTAAAAACTGTATTCAGTACCCTAAAAATTATTTTGCAGACTTCTGATCTGTATGTGTATTATTTGAAAGTTTATTTTTTTGGTTTTGGTTTTGGCTTTGGTTTGTTTGGCTTATAATAAATTGGTTTCCGCTGTCCGCTCTATGGGGTGCCGCTGGAGGATCGTGTTTGGTGTCTTTCGATATATTTTAAAAAAATATTGTACCCGACATTCATTTCGTGAAATATTTGACCGTCTCACTTTTTTGGCATACCTTATATAATATCCTAATGCAATATATTTCTTTCAAACATTTTTGCTCAGCATTTTTGTTTTCAGTTTAGTGCGTACATTTAGATCGAATACAGCATACCGTTGCTTTTACTATATTATGTCTGCTGTCCTGTAATTAGTACACTCTTATTCTATTCTGAGATAATAATACGACTTTTTGAGATATTAGTGGAAACTACTAATTAAGTAAATATTAATTAAAACAAAGGTATTACATATTTGCCTGATACAAAAAACTGATTTAATGCTCTATTTCGAGGAATGCTTACACATTTATTGTTAATACATTTGTTTTGTTTACTATATATTGTTTTGTAAAGGTACATTGTTCTCGAATTTACAGGTTGTTTGTTCCTGATGATTTGTCTGCAACTGTGACAGTAATTATCAAAAGGGAATTCAGGAAGGATAAGTGATCTCCTGCCAACCATCCCCTGTAGTTTTGTTTAGTACATACTATTTTTATATTGTAAAAAAGTAATAGGTATAGTATATTTTTATGATGAAAAAATGCCACTACACCTCTAAAAATAAAACTAACAAGCTGAATTTTGCTGAAAATGTCTATTTTGGTACCCCAGAAATATGCCAGCAAGTTTACTACTGCTACCCCCGGCTTCTCCCTAAATCCTCCCTTATAGGGGTGTATATAAAAATATTTCAAATAAAAAATGTAGCTTAGATAATTTTGAACAAAAATGTATATTATCACTTTTTATGTAGAACGATTTGTTTTCTCAGAATCAACGCTTGAAGCGACCGGTGATTTTGAATGTCAGTTACACCCACGAAATCAATTTTAATTAAAATTTTAATCAACTCGACAATAAAAATTCGATATCTTTTGATCAGAGCATCCTATCGACAAAAATTAAAATGTGTTTTTAAGGTAAAGAGTGTAGCTCTCGTATACAGTTTTTGTTTTTTGCCGCAAATGAAGTCAGGTTTTATATAGGGTATTAAATACACTCAGATGCAAAAAAATAATTAACCAAGAGGTACATGCCTGCTTTATAGACTTTGAAGAGGCCTTTGACAAAGTACGCCACAATAAACTCAAAGAAATCCTGGAAGGTAAGAACATCGACACCAGAGACATACAAATAATATTAAATATGTACTGGAATCAGCAAGCTAATATAAAAATAGAAGACCAAACAACGAACGAAATAGAAATACGTAGAGGAGTACGACAGGGTTGTATATTGTCACCGTTCTTGTTTAATATCTACAGCGAACGAATATGCCAAGAAACTCTCTCATATGCAAACGGAGGGATAATAGTCAATAGATAAGTTATCAATAACATTCGATATACTGATGATACTGTGATAATGGCAAGAACAGCGGAAGATCTACTACATCTAGTTGAAAGTATGAATGACATGTAATCACTACGGCATAAGGATGAATGTCAAAAAAAAAACAAATATATGATCTTCAGTAAGAATCCGATACATGACACTAGTATTGCAATAAACGATACCCAACTCGAAAAAGTAAGCGAATACAAATACTTGGGAACTCTCATCAATGAAACAGGTGACAAAAATCACGAGATAAAAAGACGTATTGAAATTGCCAAGTCTACCTTTATAAAATATTATTATTAATTATACCTGCGTATAATACGCAGAGTCAATAACGATCCAGAAGTTATACTGAATATAAAAAAGAGAAAACTTGAACTTACTTCCACCTTAGGAACTACCTCTTAGGTACTAAGAGGTAGTTAGGCCACCTGATGATAGGACAAAAGTACACATTCCTACAAAATATAATGCAAGGAAACATTCAAGGACGCAGAAATCGAGGCCATAGAAGAATGTCCTAAATGAGAAATTTAAGAGTGGTTTAGCTGTATAATCCGACAAGCGAGAGCTGGCGGGTGACCTGCTCGAAAATAGAAAAGCAATTATTCTAAGAGAGATAGGAGAGGTACTTAATCGCGATTATAGGTATATAGTATAGGTACTTAAACGGTTATACACGATTTACACGATGTACATGACTTAAACGGTGAACACTTTTCAATTTCTTCTACGCGCAACCCGCCAGCTCTCGCTTGTCGGGTTATACCACTAACGAATTATTCAAAATAGCAGTAAATAAAATTAGAATCGCCCTAATGATTGATGCAAAAAAACGCAACGAAGAAAAGAAAATTTTGGTCAAATTCAAAGTATTTCAGTTGTTTTATTTTTAGCCCTATTTTGATATATTTTTTAGCACACTGTGTAAAAATTTAAAAACTTTAATATACTTTAATATACTTTATAGTAAGTTTTTTAATAAAGTTTTATATTTGACATTATACGGGGTTAATCCAAAGGTGGTTTTTATCCTAAATTTGAAACGTCCTGTGGAATAATTCCGTTAGCGGATTTTCGTAAAACCTTGTTTTCGGTTACAACCATGTCTTCTAAGTATTATGTTTTTTGTTTCATGTAAAAATATGAATGTGTTCATTTGTACGAGCGAAATGACTTTGCCACCCACAATTTACGACTTTTCCTATTATTGCCATTATCTTTTGTATTAATTTGTAATACGACGATGGGGGTTTTGGTGATTGATATCGAAGGAATGTCATATCGACATCTCAGAAGCACTGTTTTAAATAATGATTAAAAGCAACGACATGATCTTGGTTTTAATGAACAATGATAACAATAAAACAAAAAAAAAAACAATTTAAATGTAAGTTAACCTAAGTAGGCAAATATCAAAGAAAAACTACTAAAAAATAACTTTGTATTGCCTCCCATAGCCTCTAAAATTACTTGTACACGTCGGCCTCATGCGGTCTAGGAGGTTGCGAATATCATCTTGCTGGATGTTTTGCCATTCCTCTTCTAGAGCCAAACGAAGTTCGTTAATTGAGGCTGGCGCGACTTCGCCACCTCTAATATTTCTACCAGGTATGTGCCAAACGTGCTCTATTGGGTTCAGATCTGGCAAACATGCTGGCCAGTTCCTTTTATTAATACCAACTTCCTCTAAATATTGCGTGACACATATTGCAAGAATGGGAACAGCGAACCTATTCGAAGACGATAATATAAGCTTATAAAGGATACAATGTTTTAGAGGAGGCTATAACTTCGTTTTTCAATACCATTTATACCACGGACAACTACCTAATGGTTGGTCTAACTCACTGTTTATAGCTCTACCTAAGAAGACAACAGGCAAAAACCTGTGCTGATTATAGAACCATCAGTTTGTTAAACCACTTATTGAAAATTTTTCTGAAGGTAAATACATGGTCGTATCTACAATAAAGTGAGGAATACCTGTAATGACACTCAGTTTGGTTTCCGTAAGGATTTGGAACGAGAGAGGTACTGTTTGGAATGAACGTACTTGTCTCAGAGATGTCGTGATAATATCTGTAGAACATAAACTGTTGTGTTAATTGACTTTCAAAAGGCATTTGATCGTGTTAAGCACTCTATAATATTGATCGAAGCTCTAAAAGACATTGCTTTGGACGGCAGAGATGTTCGAATAATTGCAAATTTATATTGGAATCAAACAACATCAGTTTTAGTAGAATGTGTGGAATCACAAGCTCTCAATAATTAAAAGAAGGAGTACGGCAGGGATGCCTCTTGCACCCCCTGCTTTTTAACGTTTACATCCGAAAGAATTTTCAGAAAAGCACTTTCTGACAAACAAGAAGGAATACTTGTGAACGGCGAAGTCATCAATAATTTGCGATATGCGGACGATACAGAACTCCTAGCTTCTAGTCAAGAAGATCTGCAAACACTACTTGATAGTTGTCCGTTGAAGTTGTAGGGAGGCAGGTCTGGATCTTAACATAAGTGAAAACCAAAATACTGTAATAAGTAAACAACAAATATAAAACCGTCTATAATGTAAATAATATCAAAATTGGAGCAAGTTTGATAAAATCGTCTACCTTGGACACAATTAAATTGTAATGCAGAAAATCACGGCGAAATTAGATCCAAATAAGAGCAGTGCTAGAGCTGCTTTTATGAAGGATGTCCAAGGTGTTATGTAACAGAGACCTAAAATTGGCATTAAGGATCCGCCTACATTCGCTGCTACGTGTTCTACGTCTTACTTTATGCTGTCGAGTCCTGGACTGTGAATAAAATCGATCTAAATCGCCTTGAGGCTTTCGAAATGTGGTGCTATAGAAGAATTTTAAAAGTTTCCTGGTGTGGAGAAGATTCGTAACTCCACAATACTAGAACGTCTCAGCAAGACTACTGAGATCATAAAAAGCATCAAGCAGAGAAAGCTGGAATATTTCGGTCATGTAATGAGAGGTCCCAAATATAATTGCTACAAAACATCATGCAAGGAAAAATAGCAGGCAAACGCAGTCCAGGACGAAGAAGAACCTCATGGTTGAAAAACTTGCGAGACTGGTATGGTGTAGATACAAGCACAGGCTATTTAGGGTGGCAGTGAATAAAATTAAAATAGCTAATGATGGTAACCAACGTTCTGAAAGGACATGGTACATGAAGAAGAAGATTAATAAGAAAAATCATCGCCGATATATAAGAAAAGGATACTTCGTGATTCGCTAAAATTTTCTCAATATACCGGTGTGCAGTCAACGAACCCTCAATAAATACCAATTCAGTGTGCGCCTTTTGGGATATTCCTGCCCATTCCATTATGACTGAAAGTACACTCCGCAAGTGTCTCTCCAGTTCGACGCCATACTCGTTCTCTCCCATCTGATGAGTGAAGACAGTATCTCAACTCATCCTTAAAAAGAACATTACTCCATTGTCCTAAATTCCAATGTAAATGTTGACTGGAAAATTGTAGTCTAGTCACTCTGGTGCCGTGGAAGTAATTTTGGCGCAGTTGCTGCTCTGCAACTTGCAAACCAAATTCGTGTAATCTTCGACGAACTGTAAATACCATGGACGTATAAATAAAGACGTCCATGGTAAATACACTTACATTATCACCTCAAACCTCTTGAAGCTGATTTTTGTTTGCACCACTGTGAAATGACGATCTCGCAAAGCGTTGACTCGTATAAAACGATCATCTAAAGCGGTAGTTTTGCGATTCCTGCCATTTCTTGCTTTACACTTGTTTGTTCCAGTTCGTATAAAACTGTCCACTACCTTTTGGATGGTAGAGCAATGAGTGTGTATTGCTTTAGCCACATATTCATAATTTCGCCCATTGTCAACCAGAGCAACGGCTTTCGCACAATCTTCGACGCTAAGAACGATGATCAATCATAGGTAAACAAAATGTCAAGTAAATAAGTTTCAATATGACATAATGATAACAGTCACCAAAGCCACTCGTCGTATTACAAAATAACTCCAAAATAATCATAATTAAAAGGTCCTAAATTGTGGGTAGCAAATTTATTTGGCTTTAAAAAATGAACCAAGGCATATTTTGACATGTAACAAAACACAATGCTTAGGAGACATGGTACAACCGAAAAATGAGGTTTTACGAAAATTCGCAAACGGAATTATTGGACAGGATGTTTCAAAGTTAGGATAATAAAACCACGTTTTAATTAACCCCGTACAATAAGTCAAATATAAAATTTTATCAAAAAACTGACTATACCAAATTAAAATTTATAAATTTATACACAGTGTGCTAAAAAAATCATCAAAATAGGGCTAAAAATAAAAAATTGAAATACATTGAATTTGACCAAAATTTTCTCCGTTGGTTTTTTTTTGCATCTGAGTGTAGATAAACGCTGCTCGATTTTTGCCATTTTTTATGATTCTCATGAGATCAATAACAATTATAACTTTCATTGAGAAGTCACTATATAATTTCCATTGTTAGAGCCTAATTTTTAAAATCTAAAGCAGGAAATTTGGATTCTGAGTTTTGGCAACAAACCTGAGGCGTTTGAAATATGCCTAAAAAACGCAGAAAATTTTAAAGACCAGGTGCTAACAATGGAGCTTTTACTATGACTGAGAATCATAAATGATGAAATGAAATAAATTTTATGATCCCACGAGAATCATAAAAAATGGAAAACACATTTAACACATTTATAATTAAACTATCTTCATTTCTGACAAAATACAAAAAGTGCACAGGAAAGCTACACTCTTCACCTTTAAAACGCATTGTGATTTTTGCCGATAGGACACTCTGATCAAAAGATATCGAATTTTTTACATTCAAAATGCCGTGGCCGGTCATTTCAAGCATTTCATTCCTACATAAACAGAGAAACGGTTTTATTCTACAAAAAAAGTGCTTATAAATATTTTTAATTCACAATTAATCTCAGCTACATTTTTATTTGAAAGTGAAACCGGGGAGTAGGAGTGGTAAATTTTTTGAATATTTTTTGGGGTTTCAAAATTGACATTCTCAGCAAAATTCAGCTTGTTCCTATGATTTTTAGAGATCAAATTTCTGACGACTGGACTATATTAGTTACGACGCTTAATATTAAGATAGAATATAAAAATAAATAAAGAATTGCAAGTAGACTAATCAATTTTGATCACCAGTTTTTGTTGCTTTTATCCATTACAGGTTCCTTATTTTTTAGGTTTATTTATAACATGTTATAATAGATATTCTTTAAAGTTTTTTCTAAAGAAAAAAGATTTTTAGAAGGTTTTATTAGCACTTTTTCTCTTCCATTGTCCTATTATAATATTCTATTTTTTTTTGTGTATTTTTCCAAAATGTATTAACAAAAATGTTTTTTGGCTTGCTTCCTTATTTTTGAAACAGAATATTAAATTATATTTTTGTATACAGGCCATAATTTAAACCACGGTCCTGTATATTATACTTTATAATAATAAATGAGGAGAAAATGTTAAACTAAAACTATTTAAGAAGAACTGTAATTTAAAAAAAGAACACTTACTCGATGACCGTGTAGTTATTCTTCTCATCTCCATTGTGTAGATTATTAAGAGATCTTAGAGGAATTTCTTCGTCCTTAAAGTTATCCTGATTGTTCAAGGAACTGGCGCTAACACGGTTTTGAACATTTTTCGTCATGGAAGTAATGTGATTCATCCCTTCTGTGACGGCATTCTTAATAGAATTGTATGGAAGATAGTCGACGCTGGAAGCCGGTGTAATTTTGATTTGGGTTGAATTTAACTTCAGAGATTTGGCTCTATTGAAAGTATGACCTCGTCTCATTGAAGACCATACACTTCCGAAGAGTGAATGATTTCTCTATAAACAATGTGTTTATTATTACAAGAATAATCAAGTGATTATTAAAAATTATACAAAATATATGAAATATTTAATTACTATAATTTCTTTTTATCTAATTCATATATAAAGACAATTAAAAAAATAATTGTAACGATTGTTCTCGAACTTAAAGGGTGATATTTTATGGCAGTTGTTAAATATTTGGTATAGTTATATGGACATTGGACAACACACTGATTGATGAAATTAATCAGAGTGTCTTGCCTGTCCGTACATATGGCGGAGAGGCACTTTTCCTAACATGGACATCTACACGAAAACTATAAGTGACGCAACGTAGAATGGAAAGATCATTGTTAGGCATAACGTTGCGAGATAGGGTAAGAAATTCGTAGAAAAAGTGGTGTAGAAGACATTATAAAACGCATAGCCAAAATTAAATGGAGGTGGGCAGGATACGTCGCTAGAATGAAGCATAATAGGTGAACCAAAAAAATCTTGGAGTGGAGACCGAGAGCGGAAGACCACCCACAAGATGGATTGACGACATAAAGAGAATTTGTACCAACTGGATTGCAGCAGCGCAAGATAGATGTGAACGGAGGTTTTTCGAGGAGGTCTATGTTCAGCAGTGGACTACTATGGACTGATGATGATGATGATGATATGGACTACATCCTTAGCATAAAATCACAAAAAACACCAAAAAACACCGGTCACCAAAAAGTTAAAAAACACTAACAAAAGGCGCAACCCACAAAAACATACTATCATCATCATCATTCTGGCTTTACAACCCTGCGTGGGTCCTAGCCTCCTCAAGAATTTCTCTTCAGTCCCTATCCATCGCCTTGCTCCGCCAAGGACATATTTCCATATTTCTCATGTCTTCATCGATGTTATCCAGAAACCTTGTTCTTGGTCGTCCTCTTCTTCTCTGACCAATAAGCCTATCAAGGAGCGTTTTTCTAGCTGGGTCATTTTGTTCCATCCACATTACATATCCTACCCACCTCAGACGTCCTGTCTTAATATGATTTACGATATCAGGTTCCTGGTATATTCTATAAAGTTCGAAGTTGTATCGTCTTCTCCACAGTTCATTGTCATTCACTCACCATAGATTTGCCATAGTACTTTTCTTTCGAAACCTCCAGACATGTTTTCATTATTTTTTTTAGAGTCCAGGTCTTTGAACCATTTGTTAGGACTGGGCGTATTATTGTTTTGTAGAGTTTTATTTTTGTATTTCTCGATATAATTGTGGATTTAAGGAGAAGATTGACCCCAAAATAGCAACTGTTGGTCTTGTAAATACTGCGGTTTATCTCTGCGGTAGTATTATTTTCAGTCTTAGGGAGCGCTCCAAGGTATACAAACTCGTTCACTGCTTCGATGATGTCGTTTTCTATAACGAGTGGTCGTAGAATTTGTGGTTGCGTGCTTATTTTCATATACTTCGTTTTGTTGATGCTTAGCTCTCATATAGCGCTTTCCGTTCTCTCAACAATATTAACATCATCAGCATAGGCCAGGATTTGCACTAATTTGTTATATATTGAACCAGTGGTTGTGATTTGTGACATACGTATTACTTTTTTCAGAGCCAGATTGAACAGTATATAAGAGAGGGTCACCCTGTCGCAGCCCATTATTTGTTTTAAAAGGTTCAGACAGTTCCCCGGAATTCGTACTCTACATTCAGCTTTTTCAAGAGTTAGTTTTGTTAAATTTACCAACTCATTTGGTATTCCTCTTGTATTGCTTTGAACATTTCTCTTCTATTCACATAAAAAATGCTTTCCTGCATTGTTTGGAGTAAGTCATCATACAGAAGTCCTTGTGTCCAGGACTTCGACATTAGAAGCATTTGGCTGGTTTGTAGTCTCTATAGCCCATCAGCGTACTATCGGGTATAAAAGGATTGTCTGGAACATTGAAGTGGGGTGGAGTGAGGCTTCTTACCCAATAAATTGTATCACCCAAAATGGCATTCATAGGGGTGTGCAAGTCTCACAGCATGGGTTGAATTATATTGCATGCTTGCTCAGGAGATGTTATTTGGAAGTGACATGCTGTCATGTTGACGTTTTCAGTCAAAGTTAAGTTGTATTTTAGTTTTAGCTGAATTAACAACCCTCCACGCAACAGTGTAATATACAATTTATAGAAGAGAAACCCTAAATTATTTTGTCAGTATGTTTAACGTGTGTTTTTCTTCTTCTGTTTATTCAATGCGGTATAAGGTTCTCCATGTCATATGATATATCGCACGGTCCTGTATATTAAGTCCTTTAGGCACTATAAGCTTAAGGTCTCTTTGACAATTCACCCCAACCCTTTATTATTTGCTTCTTGAGCTATCCTTTTTTCACTGACCCCTTATACGTCACCAAATTGGCATTTTTGAACTTTAAATAAAAATGATAAAAAAAAGAGTTTGTAGTTGCAGACACTTCGAGGCTACTACAGGCATTGTCCTTCATAACGCTGTGCTGGTTTCAAAAATTCACTAACCACTTAATGCACACATTAATTTTGAGTTTACTGTAAAAAAATTATTCATATTTTTTATTTCATAATTCGACTATGCATGTAAAATAATTAAAACTAAAAAAATAAATTTTTGAAGGGGCGTAATAAGTGTATTTTTCGTGACAGGGGCGTATTAAAAAAATAATATTTTTAATTTATTATAATTAGATATATTTTTTTTAAGTATTTTTACTTTAGAACATTTAATATTCCTGTAAAATTAAAAGCAAATACATATTGAGGGCTTAAAATCAGGGACGTGAGGATATAAATAAAAAAAATTCAAAAATTTTAAAAAACGGGTCATCATAGGTCATAAAATATTTGAATAACGAAAATAAACTATACTGTAAATGTAACACAAAAATATCTACTACCTGATGGAAATGAAAATAAACTAAGTACAGCTACATCTAAAATTCAACGTAAACTATGAAAAGGACAAAAAAGTAATTCTAATTCTTGGAAAAATAACAATAATAAAAAAATTAATTAACCAACCATAAAAACATTGAAATAAATAATAAATTCGTCATAGATGGGTCAGAAACAGCCATAAAACGTTTGAAATGTGCTACTACAGACGAACGTGTGAGACACGGGCAAGTCTCGAATTTACCGGCAAGTTGCTCTGTTTCAGATACGGATAATGCATTAAATGGCTAATTAATGCACGTTTTTTCTCTAAAGCTTGAGCTATAAAAACTTTCTATAATTCCAGTATAGTTGATGCGGCTATTATTAAATAAATAAAAAAGTTACAATACTCCCCTTAACGTTTGGAGTCAAGAAAATAACCTATTTAGGATCACAATACATGTACGAGCACCTTCACATATCAGTTGGCCTACCTATGGAATTTGCAGTTTAAATAAATTACCTTAAATAAATTATACTCTGCATGTTTTTATAAGTTCCTATATTAATTAATATGGCATTTTTATTAATATTTATTAAACACATTACCCTTATGGTTTTTTATTTATTTTCAACAATAAAAAAAATTACTAAACCCTGGCTATGTTAACATACGTTGATTGTTTCCTAATTACGTTAAATCCAGAGGTAGCCATGGAAAAATGACATCAAAACAATAATATTGTCAGTTAATGTCAAATGTATTTTGTAGTATTGTAAAGCATTTTGCTGTTTGTGGATTGTAGGTACAATGGGTCGAGGTAAAGTTATCGATGAGAAAATTTATTCAATCATTATTAGATTTTTTTTAAATCTGGAAAATCTAATTCGGAAATCGCGAATATGTTGCAATTGTCACGCTATAGTATAAGAAATATAGTCAAAAGATACAAAACTACAGGTTCGGTCGTCACAAAACCTAGAAATGTACAAAAAAGTAAAATAACCGAAGCAGATCGAAGGGCATTAGGAGGTATTATAGTGAAAAATCGATAGAAAATTATATGGAGTTAAGCGTCTTAGTGGCGGTATTGAAAGACCCGTTTTTAGATTAACATGTCATCAAGAGGACCACAAATTAGAATTTGGTATTTACAAAGTAAGTTTTATAGTTGAAAAGATTAGTACGAATTGTTTTTAATAATTTTTATTTTTTTTAGGCTATAGAAAAACCACTTTTAACAATACAACAAAGGAAAAATAGACTAAGATGGTGAAAAGAGCATACATATTGGACTCGGTGGCAATGTAATTCAATACAATGGAGTGATGAGTCCAGATTTGAAGTGTGTGTAGGAGACAGTAGGAGTCCCCACAAATAGTGGAGACTCCTATAGTCTAAAGAGAAAAGTCAAATTTCCTGCATCTGTCATGATCTGGGGCAGCACGTCGTCTAAAGCTGTGTCTAAACACGGACAAATATTTGAATATTTTAGAAGGATCTTTTTTATCGATTATGGAACACCGTTTAACATCAGCAGAAGATTTTGTCTTCCAACAGGACGGCGCAGATTGCCGTACCTCAAAAAAGAGTTTAAAATGGATTAAAGACCATGGCATAGCACTTCTGGAATGGGTTTCTAACCGTCCCGACTTGTCCCCGATAGAGACTTTGTGGCACGAAATGAAAAAAGCTTTGAGACAACATCCTGTCAGGTCCGTCAACGAATTGAAGGAAAAATTGCAAGAAGTATGAGATTCGTTTACATTAGAATTTTGTCTGAACTTGGTAAAAACTAACCCTCGAAGAATTGTGGATGTCATTAAAAATAAGGAGGATGTAACTCAGCGGTAAACTTTCACATTTTTTTTTGTTAATATTACATATTCTATGCGATTTTTTAAATTTATTATTATTCTGTTTATTTAATAGTTTTGATTACGTTATAAAATATTTTCTAAAATTAAGAAATTAAAAATGTTCTAAATGTAAAAATGTAAAATTGTAAATTTCTAAAATTTACGCTGCGCTTTTATTTTTGTTCTCTAAAATTTAATTTTTTTATTTCGTATATATATATATATATATATATATATATATATATATATATATATAAATTATGATTTTTGAGGATGCAGTCAGTTTATTTGGCCCACAAGACAAAGAAAACTCTTTGACTTACTGTCAAGCTTTCGAATTTTATTTAATTCTTTTTATAGATGTCTTGAAAAAGAATTAAATAAAATTCGAAAGCTTGACAGTAAGTCAAAGAGTTTTCTTTGTCTTGTGGGCCAAATAAACTGACTGCATCCTCAAAAATCATAATTTATATTTAAATCAACAGTCAAGAATACCACCATCTTATATATATATATATATATATATATATATATATATATATATATATATATATATTATATATATATATATATATATATATATATATAATTTTATTTATTAAGTGATATATGCTGACAATAATTTTATAGCAATGTCCCTTTATGTACAATATCAATTGAAATCTCTGTCAATAAAAAACATTTCGTGATAGCTTTTAGCGATTTCGAAGTTTAAATTGTTAATATTAGATAATAGAAAACTGACATATTTTAATTAAATACTTACACGATGCATTGGTTCGGGATTGTCATCAATTAATTCATCTAGATTGCCTGAGATGGCGCGTTTCAGTTCTGGACCAGCCTCATGTAACGTACGCAATCCGGCTTGAAGTGTAACGGTGTTCTGAATATCTTTGTCTCCGTCTTTCATCTCCTGCTCTTTTCTCTTTTTGAACCGCCTGAAGTAATCTTGAATGAGGAAAGTCGCGTAGAATTTACCCACGGTGACTTCGTCGTCCACTCCAGGTGGAGGCACAACTTGATCCAATAACTTTGGACTCGTCCTCTTCCAAATTTTTTTGATCACAGCTCGAAGTTCTGCATTGCAATCATCAATGTTGGGTCCATCGGTTTTGATACGCAGGGATGTTCGGACAACGGCAAATAGCGTAGCGTTAAACAACACCGTACCATCACTGTTTAGAGGCATATTCATGGAAACTAAACGTTTGCATGCTACGCGATGCGGACACAATTTACCAAATCCAAGGGGAGGAGAAATTTTCCTAAGAAGAGTTACGACGTCTAAATGTTTTATCCTGCCCTTAGCGTCTGGATCGTATTCGCTCCACAGCCTTATGAATTCATCTAAGTGGTGCGGTCCAAGAATAGACCAATCGCGTGTTAAGTAATCAAAATTATCCATAATAACAGCTACAAACAGATTGATAATCTGCAAAATATAAATTGCATAACTAGTCACATTATACTGTTTTCATAATTAAATTAAACAAGTTTATTCTACATTCAAAATACGAAATAGTTGTCTTTTGAAATTCAAAATTGTTGAGAGCGATCTAAAATTGTTTCTGCTATAAACAAGAGATTCGAAAATAGCCAATTGGATTCATTTCTCTCTCGAGTTACAAGATATTGAATGTGCCTAGAATATTTTGAAACTGTAGATTATTATTTATTAAATTTCAATTTCTTTGTAGCAGGATCGGTCATATACACCAGACTGATGTCCAGAAATTATAACTGGATAACAGCTGGAAAAGCTTATTTAAAATTGCAAGCTCCTTACGTCAACATTCATAATTTATAGAACTTTTAATCGTACGTTGAATTATGAGCTAGTACTGAATAATTTACTGATTGTGATTTTATAATTTAATTTATTTGATCGAATTAGATTGATCATAAATGTGGGGTTCGATTGATAGAAGGAGATTAATTATTTTTATAACCAGTTGATAGTGTTCTTATTTTTAGTATAGAAATCATGTAGCGGATGTCATAGTTAAGGAAAGAAAACGATAAAGTAGTGGGGAGATTTGGAGAGGATGAACAAAACGACAACGGAGAACGTCTGATTGAATTATGCGAACTAAACAACCTAAAAATCACCAACGGATTCTTCAGACATAAAAATATTCATAAATATACATAGACGCAAGAAACACGAAAGCTGAAATCGATAATAGACTACATAATAATCAAACAAGATACTACAATAAAGATCAAAGATGTGCGAGTCAGAAGACGAACAGAATGTGGAACAGACCATAAACTACTGACAGCAAAAATGGGCATTAATTGGAAACACAACAAGACCTCTTCTACAAAAGAACCGTTGAACACTATAAGAGAAAAACAATACAATATAGAACTACTCCAAAAACAATCAATAAGAGAACTATACCAATACGGCAACATCGAAGAAATATACGAGCATATAAAGGCGATTAATAAAAAAAAAAGAAACAGCATTCGAAGCCCATGGAGGAAAAGAACATATAACAAATAAACAGCACTACTATGAAATAAATGAACCAACAAGGGTCCGGGGGATGCGCTCTTCTTCTAATTATCGTAAAGGTGAGCGGAAAAAGAACAAATCTTAGGGGACAAGTTTTGCACGGAGAGTCTTAAGACTTTGCACCTCCTTAAATTATCCCAAGACCGCTGGGTACCCCCAACAATGATTGGGGGTGTGTAATCAATCTTTGATTGCACCCTTCACGTGGTGGCCCTGTTGAAACTAAAATCAGCGGATCTAGACTAGATAGTCGATAAACAATCCCCACGCCAAGCCGTGAGACACCGTGGTGAAGGCTGTAAGGCACTGGGGTGACAGTGTCGCAAACGGTTCCTTTGGGGCAACATGTCGCACCCCATAGTATTTAGACCTTACCCTCGCAAGCGGGGTTCTGCGAGGGGTTGACTGTCTTTCCCTAGCTACTCCTGGGATCAATATGGAATCTCAAAAAAAACAAATAAAGATAAAACTTAGGGCGAAAGGGTTCCCGAGGCCGAAGAGCCAGGGAACTCCATAGCCAAAATCACAGTTCCTAAAGCCGGAGGACAGGGAGCTTCTGGAGAAAATCCGAACGCCGAAGGGCCCGGAATTTCTAAAGAAATCCCCCAAGTTGATATGCAAGGAAACAAAAAGGCTATCAGAGTAACAGCGTTGGAGGACGTTGCTCTCATGACAGACGAAGAAATTAGGGCTGCAAAACTATCTGGCGTCTCTAAAGCCAAAATCAGTAAGCTGGTGGAACAAGGCCAAGATTACGTTCAAGCCAAAAGGGCTGTAATCAAGGCCAATTTTATTAAGGCAGCTGAAAGGGCAAAAGAGACTCCGTCAAAGCCATTAGACACCATGACAAAGGTTTTACAAACCCAGAAGACCGATGGCCCAAAAAGGCTAAGATCAGAAGGAAGCACACCACCCGAAAGCCAACGCAAAGGGAAATGGCCAAGAACCGAAGGTGTGACTTTCAGCGAAGCTGCCGCTTCTGTTAAGGTTGCAGTAGTACTAACACGATTCCCGGAAGCCAAGATGGATGTAGACAAGCTTAAGGCAGTCGAAATAGCCATCTTGGGTGCGTATGACAAAATTCCGGAAGAAGGAACACAGGTTCGCTTCCTGAAGAGTACATATAGGCCGGGTTACCTAGAACTTAACTGTGCAGATGACGTAAGTGCTCGGTGGCTAAAGAAGGTGATTCCAACCCTGAGGCCTTGGGAGAATACATCTCTCAGGGCTGTGGAGAGGGAAGACATACCCAAGCCGCACTCGTGCACTGTCTTCGTACAGGACGAGCATGGGGGAACGTCTTGAGTCCAAAAGAATTCTTATTAGATTAAGGATAAGTAACCATGGGCTCAGGACAAATCTATGGACAGTCTGGGGTAGTAAACCTTCAGACAAAGCGGTGTTATGGACCTTCTCAATGGATTCTGAATCTCGAGAAGAACTCCAGAAATTAAAAATGTCACTCTTTTTTGGAGTAGGACGGTTAACGTTCCGACCCACGGAAGACAAAAACACAAGGTAAGGTTTTATACACACCCAAAGCTATAAGACCAAGGTCGTGTATAATTCGCAGTAATATATTAGATTGTACACTAATCCCGGTGCTCTGCACCGATGATATTGTTACAGCTGTTCTAACTATAACCACGAAAGTAGGAGAGAAGAAACTGGTGGTGTGTTCAGCCTACTTTCCAGGTGATAAGACTTTGTGTCCACTAAGAATTATAAGCGAGATAGCTTAATATGGTCTAAGAAAAGGATTACAGCTCATTATAGAATGTGATGCCAACGCCCACCACACCATATGGGGAAGCACAAACATCAGTGCAAGGGGTGAGTCTATTTTGAATTTCAACTTATCTGAAGGTTTGGTTATATCCAATATAGGAAACAAGCCAACTTTTGTCACTAAGGCACGCAAAGAAGTAGTAGATTTAACACTCTGCACAAGCAAGATAAGTGATATAATAACAAATTGGGTTGTGTCTGACGAACCCTCATGTTCGGATCACAGACATATACGATTTGACCTTGATATTTGTCCATCAGAAATTAAATACAGAAATCCTAGAGATATAAACTGGGTAGGATATAGGGAGTCCCTCAATAAAAATCTCGAGGAAAGTATGATTTTGTTTAAAGGCCCAGAGGTTATAGATTCGGCGGCAGAAACGATAAGCGAAGCTATTATGGTGGCTTATTAGGAAAACTGTCCAGAAAAAACAAGGAAAAGTACGGGCAGTAATACAATCTGGTGGAACAACGACTTAAAGAGGATGAGGTCGGAAGTCCGAAGCCTATTTAATAAAGGCAAAAGTAAACAAGATTGGGATGCCTACAGGTATAAGCTAACGCTATACAAAAAAGAAATCCGGAAAGCTAAAAGGAATTCATGGAGAGAGTTTTGCGAGGAGATTACACATATCCCGGCATGTTCTCGAATCCATAAAGTCCTGGCAAAGGATGGTGCTACAACAAAAGAAGTAGGTTTCCTAAAGAAAGCTAATGGCAATTTTACGGACACCAAACAGGAAAGTCTTAGAGAACTGATAAACAAGCACTTTCCGGGCTCAACAATTCTGGATGATGCAGATAGGCAAACCAACGTAGACCAAAGGCTCACTAGGCCAAGGTCTACAAGACTAGGCCACAAGAATATACCGAGGCTGGCTTAGATATTAACCTCGCGTAAACAGAGTACCTATCTACAAGTGAAGAAGACATAGAAGATCTACAGATTGATGACAACGTAACAATTAAAGGAAAGGATAAATTCAAAGACTTGGGGTTTATAATCACAAAAAAGGCAACAACAGAGGAAGAAATTACGCAAAGACTGGGAAAAACAAGAGCAGCAATCCGACAACTTAACTCAGTATGGTGGGATAGACACCTAAATATGAAGACAAAAACACAGATTTATAAAACATTAGTGCGAAGTATTATGACATACGGGGCTGAAAATTGGATTATAAACAAGAAAACAGCAGTAAGATAGTAGCAACAGAGATGGAATGCTTGCGAAAATGTGCAGAGTAACAAGAATGGAGAGAAGTAATGACGAAATAAAACAAAGAACATCAATAGAAACAGACATACTAACATATATAGAACAAAAAAGACTAAAGTAACATGGACATGTAAGAAGAACTAGCGACAGTAGATGGATAAAGAGAATAACCGAAAGGAGCCCCATAGGAAGGAGGAAAAAGAGGACGACCCTGAAGATAGTGGAGGAACGAAGTAGACGACGCCATGAGTAAGAGAACCCTAAACGATGGAGAATGACGCAACAGAGAGAGATGGAAATGGTTAAGCGAGAGAAGGCAGTAAATACTGTAGAATCCCTGAGTATATATAAATCATGTAGCGAGAATATAAATGGAATTTGAGGACAGAAAGATATGCAGATTATGATCCAGCAAGTGATAGTGGTAGTCATAGTGGATGCAGCGTTAATATTGTAATTTAAGATGGGTGGTCGTTACGCCATGCGTCAGCTGAGCTCATAATAGAATTCGGTACCCGCAGAAAGAAATATCGTCGTTTGCGCGTTTAAAAACCACGATAAAAATATGATTTGATGTTATCATATGGGGTTCCGTATGTTATCATAAGTCAAAAAAGCTGAAGAAAAGCTGATAAAAGATGAACGGAAACATGTTGCAGTGTTGGGTGACATTATAACAAGACTAGTTCCATTCTAAAACAACAGAGCTCAACCTCCATTTTAACGTGACGGTATTTTACGAGTAGGATCATTTTAACGAGTTATAACTTTTTACAACGTCTCGTGTATGCCATCTATAAACTGGATTATACAGTCTAGATTTTTACTTATAATCTTTTCAAGTTTCAGTTGTTAAAGTTAATAAACAATGGAAATATACTTTTATTCCTTAAAAATAAAG